CCCCCCCCTCTCATAGGCATAAAGAGAATTGAGCACTGGGGTAGAAGGACTTGCCAGTGAAGGGCTTTTTGAGGCTGTGTGGGATGGATGAAGATATGACATAGCTGTGGGGTTCAGGGACAGTACCAGAGCCCACTAGTAGTTCCTCTGTCATGGGACCACTTAATAAAATGTGCGGTCTAAGGTACCTCTTTACCTTTGGTGTTCAAAAACAAAAGCACGGGTGGTGCATTTTGCCCAGTCCCATATGAATACCCTAAATGTTCCAATGAATTGCCACTGCAGTTCTGTAGAATGGCTCATGTGATTGGGAAAGTTGCTGTACTACAAGAACCAGCATTCCCTATCCAGTTCTGCTCGGTCTTTCAAGTTCTAATGTTCTGCTGCCTGATTCTGATATTCTAGTACGTCTGTAGAATAGGACCCATGTCTTCCAGGCTTTGCTGTACTACAAGGCTTCACCCCATTCCCTTCTGCCCATAATCTCTCCAATACTGGCCAGCTCAGACTTGAGGACTTACTCTTACCAGGGTTGTAACTTCACTTTTATTATTTTCAGTCCTTACTGGAGCTGCACAAGAGGAGAAAAGCTGTGACTGAACCAGAAGCTCGCTATTACCTGCGACAGACCATCCTGGGCTGCCAGTATCTGCACGGCAATAAAGTTATCCATAGAGATCTCAAACTTGGCAACCTGTTCCTCAACGATGACATGGATGTGAAAATAGGTAACTATTCTGGAGCTATACTCTGGTATGACTTGGTGGTCTAGCAATGGTGTTGGTCAAGAATTGGTATCTACCATTTTATTTCTTAGGCTGGGTTCACAACTAGGTGTATCGGATATGCACGTTTTTACCGAGAGTCGCATAAAAAACGCATGGCAAACACGCGCTTCCGAGGGCTACCTGGCTGTATCCCAATGGATATGCACGGCAAATACGCCCCAAAGAAGCTCCTGTACTTTGGGCGTAGGGCGTTTTGCAGCGCGCTCCTACGTGCTGTAAAACGCCCAGGTGGGGACCATGCCCATAGGCAATCATTGGTTTTCACATGTTGAGCATTTTAGAGCGTAGGAACGCGCTGTAAAACACCCAGGTGTGAACCTGGCCTTAGCGGCCTGAACTACTCCATTGGTGGTAGGGAAATTGGTAGATTCTCCTTTAATACCCATTTCCCCAAATGATCTCCTTTTATCCAATCTGTTTCCAGAAAATGGATGGCCAAGGAGGTCTGCTAAATGCAGAAGGTGCCTTTTTTAGATGCTTCAATGCTCCTTTAGTCCATATGTTTTAACAGCCTTGTTGGTAGTCTGTCACAAATCCCCCCTCTACCTACAGGTGTGTGAGGCATCATAAGATTCCAATTTCTCAGATTTAAAATAGTACGGTATGTTGACTCCAATTTTCCCTTAGCAGACAGGCTTCGGCTTTAGTGCCAAAATAGGTTTGGCTTGGCCACCAAGCCATCACATAGTTGGCCAAGGTAACTTTTGAGCTCAAATCAGGGCCCCTTTATGTGGTAAGCCACTGGGTAAGAACGCTCTTTTGAGAAAGTTGTGCCCTGTGTAAGTTCTCATACCCTCCGGAACCGCTTCAACAAGGTTAGGACTCTGGTGTGGTAGGTCAGAGGAGAATCCGTAAATAGGAAGGGGTAAAATGGGTCTCTTTAGCATCTCTAGTGGCCTCTTGCACTACCTGGTCACGTCTGGCAATATACTGCTGCGCTCCTGCCAGTTCCTGGTGATCTACTGACTTGCTGTAAGATCAAAGTGCGATTGGCCCATCACTACTGAGATATAGCGGTGTAAACTTTTTTAGGCATGGGTCCTAACATTTCTGCATATTCTAACTTTTCAGGTGACTTTGGACTTGCTACAAAAGTAGAATTTGATGGGGAGAGAAAAAAAACCCTGTGTGGGACACCCAACTACATTGCACCGGAAGTGTTGGGCAAGAAGGGCCACAGTTTTGAAGTGGACATCTGGTCTTTAGGATGCATAATGTAAGTACTAGCTGCGTCTTGGAGGCGGAATTCCAAATGTCTGCCTGCTTTTGCTGTAATCTGTATGATAGCATAATGCCTCAAAATTAGTACAAGACTCAAATTTTTAAAACTGGAATCTCAATGTTTACATGGGGGGACATGAAGAGGTTACCTGTGTCCACTATAGAACTGAAAGTCTCAAGTTGCAGAAAACCTTTGCTTTACCAGTTCTGGGCAAGGTAATGGGTTCCCCCTTATTACTTTTTCAATTGGCTTCCTGTACCCACCTTCTCCACTGCTACAGAGGAACACATGACCCACTCAAGTCACCAGGCCCAAATGCTATCACATGAGCCATCCACTTGTGTAATGCTTGGCTTTGAGAAAACCAGAATGTATTACTGGGGATGACTGTAAATTTAGGAATTGGAGGTACTGGAATAATGTGGGGTTATTGTTCCTATGTAAGGGACCTGTTTTGCTTACTATAGACCAAATACAGGTTTAATTTATTCTAGATGTCTTAGTTGGCTTTTGATCATCGCAAACCACCCAATTCAGAAACTGAAGTGAAATCTATAGAATAGGCTGTACTAGAGTATCTAAAAGGCAGTTGGAAACCAAAGATCTTAAGCTTGTACATCTCTCCTCAGGTACACACTACTGGTTGGGAAGCCTCCCTTTGAGACGTCATGCCTTAAGGAAACCTACATAAGGATCAAGAAGAATGATTACAGTATTCCCAGGGTGAGCTTGAACATTGGAGTCGTGTTTGTATTGAGTTACACTGTGCAGTATTCTTCCTTAGACTGGCTTCTCCAGTTTCATTGTAAGCTAAACCTAATGTGAAGGAGCTGTAACGGTGTACATACACAAGCTGTGCTCATAGAAACCAAGCGGTCCCTGCTTCTGGTGCTGCTTTAAGGGCCCATTCACAGTATAGTGTTGCTGTAGGCACACACTGCAACATGGCACGCCTGGCTTAGGGTAGTGTGCAGTACCACAAAATTGTGGTAAAAAAGTAGTGCCACTGGGAGGTGCATTGGGGTGTTATTCAAATGAATGGCAATGCACGTAGCACACCCCCTCTGCATTCTGACGTGACACAAATGATGGGGTCTGGCAATCTATTGTCTGTATTGATGTAGGTTTATAGTGACTTGCAGGCCTGCCACTTTTGTCATGTGAATGGGCAGTTGGTTTTGCTAATCTTGGCATTTAGAAGTCATGTGACTAATGCCTAGACCTCTTTGCTCATATGACCAGCCCTAGATGGGTACTATTTAGCAACCTTATTCAAAGCAGTCTTTCAGGACAACACATATGAACATCTCTTCACTCCACCCAACCCTAACATGTTTTAGGTTGAAGGGTTTACATTTTGAATTATGAAGAATGCAGCTCTGGGAGTAAGATTTATCTGCAGGCATCTGGCTCCTGGGCACTAAGCCAGCAGGTGACTACAGCCACTAGCATCCACCAAAACAAAGTCTTGGAACTGTTTAATCCTTGTATCTTCAAGATCATTGCTGTCACGTGATTCCTTATGACATATTGAATGTGGTTTCCATTTTTGTTTCCTCTTTTCAGCACATAAACCCCGTAGCGGGAGCTCTCATACAGAGGATGCTCCGTTCAGACCCCACCACCAGACCCACCATAGATGAGTTATTGAATGATGAGTTCTTCACCAGTGGCTACATCCCCTCCCGCCTCCCTACTACATGCTTGACAGTGCCTCCTCGATTCTCCATTGCACCGAGCACCATTGATCCAAGCTTTAGAAAACCACTTACTGCAATTAACAAAGGTAGGTCTTATTGAGATGTTCATCCCTGCTTGGGAGTGACATGTGACCCTCCTAACCTTACCCTGTAAACTGAGATGGCAGTCCTGGGTAAAAGTGTTCAATAGTACACTCCATCCCAAATAACCATTTGGGTTTACAGTGCCCTATTGAATATGGGTTTACAGTAGCATGCTGGGTTGGCTTATGCTTGGTGGAGAGGTCTTGGGATTCAGTTTTCCCATTTTTGCCATGGAGTCTTGCTGCAATCCAACAAGAATCATGGGACCTAGCAATTCCTGTGCCAAGCTCAGTGCAGTGGGGATTAATATGTTACTGAGGTATGATTGCTGCCTTAGCAGAACCTTCTCTGGCTGATCTAAGGGGTCCCGTAATCTGCAACCAATATGCAGATTATGTTCTAATCTTCCTTTCTGTTCTGGGTCACTGATTTCTTGTATGTAAATCCCTAACGAATACTTATTTGTTTCCCTTTCCTCTGTAAATCTCGCATTGAAAGCATTTTATCTGTACTATAAGTGTGATTCTTCCCATTGGGAAGATGTATGCCACTTCTGTCTTAGACTCAACAGGAAGTGAGAGGAAATTTCCCCATACTGAGGGAGAACTCCACTTTTAGACCGCTGTCGCCAAAACATATGTCCCTGTTTTAAAAAAAATAATGGCCTCACTCTAGGGCTGCAGCTAACGATTATTTTCATAATCTATTAGTTGGCCGATTATTAAGTTCGATTAATCGGATAATCTTATGCGGCGGCCTGTGCGGTGGACATGTCGGGAGCAGCGTGTGACGTGCGACGTTGCCATGTTTTCAATCGTCGATTTTAATCGACTTAATCGATTAACTGTTGCAGCTCTACCTCACTCCCAGATCTGGCGGAAGCTTTACATTTTTTATGTCCCTTCCCTTTGCCTCAGTGACAATGGTCATCAGGACATAAAGGTGTGAATTTTCCCAGCAAGGGCAGACGGCAATAAATACTTGACAGTGGGCCTAACCCTTGTTCTGGCAATTATGGCTAAAACAAAGACTTTACTTTAAGGCAGAATGTATCCATCTGTAAATGGAAGTCTTTGACCCAGTTCATAATCATGGAAGTAGTCCTTAATGCAGGGCAACTCCTGTCCTCCAGCTGTGCTTTAACTACAAATCCCAACATGTCTCTGGAAGTTGTGCATATAACTGTCGGTCTTGCAATGCCTCTTGGGACTTGTAGTTCCACAACAGCTGGAGGGCTGGACAAATTCTGGTAAAGCCATTGGATCTTGGAACATGTTTCTGGAAAAACAAAACCCACACACAAAAAAACAAAAAACTCCCATGTCCCAATCTATACCTAGTAAATTTTAGTTTCATAAAGTCCTGATTGGTTTAAATTCATACACTTGGTGGCTTGGAGTAGGACAGTAATCAGACTTTGCACATTCAAATGCTTATTCTTAACAAGTCGTAAAACTTAAGCGCAGGAGCACACGGTTGCAACTGCAATACAGCACTATGCATGCATTTGTTAGTAAAAAGGGTCAGGTGCGGCTTTTTGGCTACACCGGGGGTGTATTGGCAGCCCATTCAAAATGAATGGGCTACCTTAGACGCCACAAGTGTAAACCTAAACTCTAGACGGAGATGAAATGCATTAATGCAGCTTTTGTTTCCATTAATTCATCCCTTAAGTTTGGTTAAAGCTGTATTTGCCCTGGTATATACCTCTTGCAATCCCCTTCTACAGCAGAGCTCTGCTCCTTCCAGCAGGGAGCTGGTAGCCTGCCAGTCTTGTGCACCTGCTCAGTTTACATTGACACATTGAGGGGGAAGTGCTGAGCCTTCAACTTGAAGGACTTTAGTGTTTCTAGTATGAGCTTTACAATGAATTGCCCCACAGTGCCTCCAGCTGCAGAGATTAATGAGGACCTATTCAAATAGACATATTCTTAGGAAGCAGTAATAGGCTTTACATGTCTAGAACATGGCCACAGTTTTAATTCATGCTTGCAGTGTAGGTGTTTTTTTTGTTTTTGTTTTCTCTTACAGTTTTGTGACTTGGTTCTATACTAATAATACTTTAAGTGTTAGCTGGAAGAGTAAAAAAAACCTTGAATCGGACTATTTAAAGCCCTTTGGAGTAGCTGAGGGCAGCTCTGGCCATTATGTTTAATGTAGGTTCTTTAATGTGTGTTGTGCTTGCTACAGGCCAGGATTCTCCATTGGTTGAAAAGAATGTAGCACCAGTAAAGGATGAAGATATGGCCCCTCCAGAGTCCGAGCCTGCCGATTGTTACCTGTCTGATATGATGCTACAACTGACCAGTCTCAATGCTGCTAAGCCCTCCGAGAAGCCTGTGATCCGCCTAGGTGAGTCTTGATGTTCAATTATGACACTTGTCTGTCACAGAACAATGTGGCTTCTCCATCCCACCTAGCTCTCCTGGCAGCAAGAGAACAAGGAGGTTGCGCTGCATTTTTAAATGTATTTATTTTTTTCACATGTTGAAATGTAATCTGCACTATATTCCCCTCGGTGGAATTGGTCATTTTTTTTTATGATCCTTGGTATCTGTTGAGGATTTTAAGTGGAACCCAATAACTTCAAGAGATTTGGTTATGAAGAAGCAATTTAAATTTTTGTAGACACAAGCTCTTAATCTTTCTTCTACAGATGAGGCTGAGGATCCAGCCTGCAATCCAATCTTCTGGGTCAGCAAATGGGTGGATTATTCTGACAAGTACGGACTAGGTATGTATCTGTCTAACTCCAGACCTATATGGTTGTTTATAATCTTACATGGGCACTAAGCTGAAGTGTTTTCCTCCCCAGGATATCAGCTGTGTGATAACAGTGTAGGCGTTCTCTTCAACGACTCCACACGGCTCATAATGTACAACGATGGAGACAGTTTACAGTACATTGAGAGGAATAATACAGAGTCTTACCTGAATGTACGCTCTTACCCATCGTCACTGACAAAGAAGGTAAGAGCATAGGGTGGAGTAGCAATTCGCATAGCTTTAGGGTGTTTGCAACATTAAGACTATCTGACATGGGCAGGAAGTGTATTTTGCAGCTTTCTTTCTGCTTGATCAAGTGAGGCTTGGAGGAAACCTCTCATAGAGGATGCCATGGTTTCCTTTATGTTGGGGAATACAAGTTGCCTGGCTGTCATGTTAACATAATGGCTTTGGTAATTTTGTCACGGACCTTCAGTAAGCATGCATAATGACTTATTTTTCAGTTTCCTGATCTACATTCTGAGCCAGTGACTTGAACTACTGAGTTTTTTTATTGGTTTGGTAGCTTCCGTCATGACAGGTTTACTTTAAACTTCTCTCCCTTGATTGGGAGTGTTGGGAATGCTGCCAATTAAATCTGTGGGCTTGTTGGGTGATGTGTGGCTTTGATTTCAACAGTTAAGGTTCAGCAGGAGTTGATCCCTGCCCTTCAGAGTCTTAGGAGGGAAACCAAGGGGCCATGATGCATGCCAGGCATCACCTACATAGGAGTCCAGTTCTATCCTAGTTTTCCTTTACAGTGGGAAATAGTTTACCATAATGCGCCCCCCCACCCCAATCTGGGGGTAATTCTAAAAATGCACTGATACTGGTATAGAGTACCGATATTTTTTTGGTACTTACCGATACCAGAAGGCCCATTAAGGAAGCCAGGTGGCGTGTAATGCCTCATCATCCAGCTTCCTGATTACCAGGGAGGCCGTCTCCATGCTGCTTGTGACAAAGCAACGAGCCGGCTTTCTGGTCAATCAGGAAGCCGGGCATTGAGTAACAACGCGGCGCCCAGGTTCCTGATTGGGCGGAAAGCCGGCACCATGCTCACTCATTATGAGGGAGCATAGAGGCAAATTCCCGGCCAATCAGAAAGCCAGGCAGCGTGTAATGACTCGGTGCCAGGCATCTGAGTATTTGGGGTACTTGCCCAAATACTCAGCATCGATGCTAGTATCTGTGAATCCCTAGTTCAGTGGTGGCAAACCTTGGCACTCCAGCTGTGCCAAAACTACACATCCCAACATGCATCTGCCTCTGGGAGTTATGTCTGTGGCTGTCAGACTTGCAATGCCTCTTGGGACTTGTAGTTCCAAAACAGCTGGAGTGCCAAGGTTCGCCACCACTGCCCTAGTTACAGTGCTTAGCAAACCTTGACTGTGGTTACTGTTTTCACATCTATAATCTCCAGACATGTGTTGAGGAGGAATCTCCCCAAGGGAGACACAGGCTGCAGTTACAACTTGACTCTTGAGCTGAATGGTCCAGTTGGCGCATGTGCTACTCAGCAGTCTGAATGCTATTTGCAGTGTTGGATGGTTTTCCATTTTCTAGGACTTCTGCTTGTGTTGGTTCCCTATAAAAATCGCATATGAACTGACCCATCTAATGTATCGGAAATGCCATTTATTTATTGGAATTCAGTAGTGCCTCAAAGTTGGGATGTGAGGGTCTACCCCCTGTTCTGCTTAGGGTTTGGTTTTATTGATGTAGGCAGCTTTTTGTACAAGGGGCCCTGTGGGAACAAGCCAGTAAGATGCGTTATTTGGTGCTGCAGGTGATTTAGAAACCACAGAGTGAATCTGCTCTTTCCCTTCCAGATCACACTACTGAAATACTTCAGGAACTACATGAGCGAGCACCTTCTGAAAGCAGGTGCCAACATCACTCCCCGGGACGGTGATGAGCTGGCTCGCCTCCCTTTCCTGCGGACATGGTTTAGGACACGAAGTGCAATCATCCTACATCTGAGCAATGGAACTGTTCAGATTAACTTCTTCCAGGTGAGGACTGTGTAGGATTTTGTGACTCTAGGCTTTTTAGGAGTAAACTATTACATTCCAAAGAGCAACTGGTCGTCTCTTGTGCCTATTAGACTGCACCGTCCTATTGATGAACTCTGTAGAACTCCTGTAACAGAGTTGGGCAGTTGTAGATACAAAGCCTGATTACATTTACATTTGTACTTCAAATGGGGTTTAAAATCTGCCTTTTATTTCTACAGGATCACACAAAGATCATTTTGTGTCCCCTTATGGCTGCTGTCTCTTACATTGATGAGAAACGGGAATTCCACACATACAAGTTGAGCCTTATAGAAGAGTTTGGCTGCTCAAAGGAGCTAGCGAGCCGATTGCGTTATGCCCGCACCATGGTGGAGAAACTGCAAAACTCAAAGTCTGGTGCAATACACATAAAGGCCCCGGTGTAGCTGGACTACAGAAATATGGCCGCAGTCTTCCTGAATGGGAGGGCTTCGTGCCAGCCTCCGTGGCTGCAGATGGTTTTATTTCTGAGCCAAGAAGTGGCGTTTGACTATGGTTATGTAACGTTCAAGATTGTACAGTTCTTATCCCCCCGCACTGACCAATAGTGCTGCTTGGGGACTTTCTTACTAGCAAGCTGGTATCATGACTCCTCTTTTGTCTTAAGCAAGAGCCTGTTCTGTCTGTCACTTCTTCTTAATGTTGTCAGGTTTTAATGTAAAATATCAACTTTATAACTTTTGTATATTAATATCAGATTAAAGTTCTTTGTATATGAATTGCCATTGTGGTGGTTTGTTTGGTGGG